GATTTAAAGTTCAACTTTTTAATCAGTATATAAATCTAGTTAGGATATCTTTATTCAGCTAATTAATACAAGAATATTACAACATTTTACTTGCAACTTCTTCACTCCCACTCAACAAACCATAGCTAATGCCAAAATCTCCTGGGGTATGGGCAGATATTAATTTTTTAATAATGTATTTTTCATTTAAACCATATACTGTTTTATTTTATTTTGTGCTTTTGCTATTTCATTCCTTTTCTATCTCATAACTTTCTCTATTTACTGTCCTGAATACAACTTCTCATCATTCTTTTAGAGTTTTATATGGAATAATGGTTTCAAGCCTTTATTAGTTTCCTGTTGCTTCTGTAACAACTTTTGGCAAATTTCACAGCTTAAAACAATGGAAATGTGTTTTCTCACAGTTCTAAGGGGCAGAAGTCTAAAATTAGTCTTTAGGGCTACATTTCTTCTGGAGGATCCTAGGGAGAACCAACTTCCTCATCCTCTCCAGTGTCCATAGGTCACCTACATCTTTTGCCTTGTATCCCCCTTGCCCCTCTTCAAAGCCAACAGTGTAACATCTTCAAATTTCTTCTCCCTGCCTCTTTGTTTCCATCAACACATAGCTTTCTCCTTCTTTTGACCTTGCCTCTCTCTTAAATGACCCTGGTGATTATACTTTAGGCATACCTGGATAATCTGCGATAATCTCCCCATCTCAAGAAACTTAATTTAATCACATTGGCAAAGTCTTTTTTATCCTACAATATTCATGGATAATGGGGGCTACAAAGTGGATATCTTTGGAGGGCTATAATTCAGTCCACCACCATGCCCTTGGCCAAGTGAACATGTCTTTCTTGTAATCTCTTGTTTAAACGAGGCTGGATGTACAGAGCAAAGTTTGAAAGTTTTTTTTTTTTAATTTTGTATTTTATCTTAATATCTTCTTTTAGGCTGTTAGTATGAGAAGTGGAGTCAGTCTCGTGTAAGGAACTAAATGTTGAGGCTGTGATTATCTTTTGTGCAAAATGGTCTTCAAATTCCTCTAGTGGTGGGCTATAGTTGCCTTGGGCTCTGGGCAGTTGCTGGAAATTTTTTTTTGGTGTGAGCACCCCACAGTCAGCCTGAGTCTCTGCTCATCTTCATCACAGGGTTGGGGTGGAGGGTCTCCTCCCATGCTGTTGCCTCTCCTTTATTGGTAGACTGCTGTCAGTTGTCACTCCCGGTGCTAACTCATGGTGAAGTGCAGGTGGGACTGAAGGAGCGGGAGTTTATTGTTGTAGACCAGTCTCAGTTTAGGAAGTCCCTGTGTACCTGACCTCAGGTGTGAGACTTTCTCAGTATTCTGTGCCCTCTTACCTGAGACAATTAAACAGTCTTATAACTGGGGTTGATCTTGAGCAGGAAGCTCCTGCCTCTTCTACTTTTTATACATATCTTCTACTTTTCCTCCAGTTACAATAGCAATCTATATTAGAATAGGCCCTGGAAATAGAGGCTTTACTACACTTCTGCCAGAGCTTATGGCTTTTGCTTCATAAAAGAGGTCTAGGGAAGGAACAGGGCTTTATACCTCCCTCAACACACCCACATGTATGATGAGCAGTGTCTCTTCCTCCCTTACTCTGCAGCAGGTGACATAGTGTCAGACTTTTCTTGGAGAAGATTGTCTCTCTTTGAATTAAGGTTATTTCATTGTCTTGGAACCTCAACTAGCTCTCTGATGGGCTCTAAAATATCTTTTCCTTACTGTAAGAGTGGAAATGACATTTTTGCGTCTTTCTGTGTCCTAAACAAAAGCAGAAATCTCTGAGGACTTTACACAAAGAAAATCCACTCAAAATGTGAAATACTAATTTCATAATTGTATCATTTCATCCAACAAGTCACAATGTTAGCTTTCTATTGAATATAATTTAAATTGGAATTAAATTAATTTCACTTGAAGGATAAACTAATTTTATTTTATAGTGTAGCACTTGATGCCCTATCATTAGATTGCTACATTTATATTCTTTCACAGTAAGAGCAATGTAAATAACCCTCCCTGGATTTAAACATCCCATTTTATCAGAAATAAAATTAGATTTTCTCATGTAAAATTGTTCAGGCTTTATACATATACACACACATACAGCTATCATCTTTAAATTTTTTTAGCTAATTTGTTTTTTACTTGCTTAATAATTTCTATAATGTGGGTAAGTGCTTTGCATCCTGGATAAAGTTATGTTGAACAAAAAAATGTACTTTGAAATATTATAACAAATTCCTTTATAAAATAAGATGTATTTAATATTAGAATGTAACACAATTGACTGGTGTTCTTATTATTTTTATTACATCAAAGTTACATCATAAATTAACAATGGTCTTGCAGTTGTGTGTAGATATTCATTGACCACTTCTAGTTGAAATTGCTAGTATAATCTACACTGAATGAACACCAAAAAATTCCCTTTAAAAATTACTTCTGTTATATTATTAAAAACAAATTAATTTAGATACTTAATAAAGCCTTAAATTATATGTGAGATTTCTGCCTTTGATGTATTACCTTGAGCAAGTCACTAACCCCTCTGAACTTTGAGGGATGAATTAAATCATCTTTTATGATCTCTTCCAGTACTATGACTCAGGGTAAATAAAGATAACCAATGAAAAGAATATCAATTTACTACTTTGGGTACCTCTTTTTCTCTTTTCTATAAACTGTGATGGCTAAATTTCAACCAAGATATTTTAGATCCTCATCATAAATCCCATGATTTCATACATTTCTGGTTACATGTGTCCATTTTTTCTCAGATTACAACTTTCCTCTAGAAGATGTAATTTTGGATACTCTAACAGAAATAACAATCGGAGTGTTTACATTCTTGGGCTGACATTAGAAAAATGTTGCTTCATTCCTCCCCTACTCTCCCTTCCCTCTCCAAATCCCTGAATTCCCATTTCTTAGCTCTATCCAATTGGAGTGAGGCAATATAAAGTAGTAATTTTTCTGCCACTTAGATGTCCCAACCAAATGGCTGGATGGAGAACTCTGCTTATGCTCCTGACAAGCCCTTGGGGTGTACTGTAAATGAATAATAGCAGTGTATATAGATTTCAAAACAGATGAAAGAAACACAAAACTACACTGCTTTCAAATTTTGTTCTACTGAGTTCTGGGTAAATGGACTTTCAGGATGAAAATGGGGTAGTCAGAGAAACATAAGGAGAAGGGTATGCTTGAGCTTTGATTTGAAGCTTGAAGCACTGAGAGGTACAGAATTGGTCCCAACTGGGATTTCCTGAGCACAGCCTTGAAAAATGTGAGATGAAATTAGTAGCAAAAAGAGTCCCTAACAGGACATGATCATCTACACTTATGACACAGTGGGTGGTGAGAAATGGTCACTCTGAAAAAGCTTTTTAAGGCTTCTGAAAATTATGCAAGTATTCAGCCTTCATAAAGTTCTGAGTTTCTATCTTCTCATGGTTTTATAATACTAAAAATATTTTGTTAGATCTATTTCTAAAGTATGTGAACCATTTGGCTATCATATACTTTCTGAATATAATCCCAACATTTTTTTGCCTTCCAGTGTTATATTTTTGACCATAAAACCTAAATGTTTTTCTATTAATAAGTACTTTCTACTTTGGTTTATTACTTTGGTGGTACATTTAGAAAATCCTTCCCAGTCCTCTAAAATTATATAAATATTTAACTTTGTTGTCACTCAATGTGTTTATACATTTTTATATAGTTAAAAACTCAAATAATTTTATATTAATTTTGGTGTATATTAGGGAAAGTTAACAAATTATTCTAGTTTTATTTATTGGGCAAATAATCATTTCCATTAATTTAACAGGTCATCTAAATTATATATCAAATTCTTATATTCTTACATTCAAATTCTTCTATTCTGTGTTCCCTATTCCTTCTTGCTGCCACTGACTGCATAATAATCCTTTTGCTCCCTTGTAGAAAAAGTTTCTTTGCAACAACTTCCCTTAATTATTGCTTTTTAACAAATTTTCTTGGTAATTCTCACATGCATATTATCTCAGATAATCCTTAGCATATTTTGATGTGTATTTGAAAATAAATCTATCCGGGTGTCAGATATTTAGTGAAACAAGCTATATTGTTAGTTCTGACTTGAGACATTTAAACAACAACAAAAATGGAAACTAGTTCTCTTCGCAAATCAAAATTTTCTTTACAAATCTGAAACCCTTTAATGGACTTCTTACTTATTAGTGAATATTTTTATATGATTTAGTTTAAGTTAGAACTTTGTGAAAACTTGCATTCAAATGGAACTTTCTCTATTAAGATTAAACAATTTTATTATGTTATGATCACCAAAATATCCAGTAGTCTTTCCTTGGTAGATAAACTGATATGACTGCCTTTGTAAAGCAATTATGTCAGCAATGTTTAATCCACAAAAAATGATATGCTATCAATTGCTTTATCACATTGTGTTCTTCCAGCATATCCACAAGGACATTCTTTCCAGCAGAATAGGGAGGTAGTCATTGTACCAGTTAGAGAGGTACAAAGATTGTCTTTATAGAGAAACGTCTCCTTGTCTGACACATTATCTTTTGATTTGTACAGATTCTTTCCTGTAGTATAAATTTACTGAGTTCTAGTTGTTATGTATGAATGAATGTAACACACCACTTTTCTCCCTGAGAAAGTGGAAAGGAATCAGACAGTCAAAAAAAATGGGAGAAACACAGCTCTAAATTCATTTACTTTATAATATTACCTGGTGCTAAAACAGATTCAGTTACCTCTAACAATCTTGCACCAAAAAAATAATTTTTATTAGATTTTATACTTTTATCCTTTACTATTCTAGAATGAGATCTTTTCCTTTCCAGGTTTTGAAGGAAATTTGAAATGTTCTAGTTTCCCTGGAGAAAGTGTCTTGAGTGAAGTATAAGCTAAAATCTAGGGGTCCTCATGTCTTTTAATATGGAATAATTGTTCTTCTTTTCCTTTTCAGTTTCTTCTTTGTGGCATTTGTGGAATATTGTGTGCCAAAAAAAAATCCGGACTTGTCGTAAGTTTTTGCTTTGTTCGTATCTTGCATTGAGGTGTTTGAAATGTAAGAATTCTAAAATAGAAATGATGACTAGCCAGCTTTTATATACAGAATATTACTAGTTTGAGACCAAAAAGAACCTGACAAATATAAGAAAACCATCACAATTATTAGAAACTATGAACAAAAGATCACTAATATAAAAAAGCTTTGATCAACTCTTTAAATACCTGAATATGTAAACTTTAATGACTGTTGTGGATGACAGTCTTTAGTTTTCCAGTTTAGAGAGTACCAGACAATCACCTGAATCCTTCAGTGAACTCAAGAAGATGAGAAATATAACCATTTAAATATGGAACTGGGTCTGAGGATTATTGGCTTTCTTTGACTGTGAAGCAAGTTTTGCAAAGCAGCAAGACAGCTATGTTACTATGGTTACAGTTAATTCTCAGAGATTTATTTTATTTTCTTTTATTACTGTGAATGCACACATAAGTGTTTTCCAATGTTATAGTGGGTTTCTGGGGTATGGAACATACTCCCAGTTAACTCTTATACTGGCTTGAGGAGATGCACTGCATGCTGAAGTGTGGATTCCCCATTGCCTTTCATGACTTTTTATGAGAGTTGGAGATAAGGAAAAAAGTGTGGTTTATTTTACTGAGTATTATGGCAAAGAATATAGATACTTACAAACTGGCAAAATCAATACTACACAGGGACCCTAGGAAGTAGCCTTTGAGCCTCAAAAGAGTTTTCCCAGGGGAGGCCAGTTAGCTGAACATAACAGGGAATGGGAAGCATTGCAGTTATTTTCACTTGACCTCTTTTTCTACCCACACCTTTTCTTGTGAGAACATCTATTATGGCAAAAAGGCTAAAGCCCTCAGAGATTTAGACAGTAATTTTAGATATAATTTTTTAAAATTACATAAAGGGAAAAAATGAAACTTAAAAAAATGTATTTTTTGGGCATATAATTGTCATTTCTGATTCTCCCATCATTCTTTAGCTATGACCCTCATTCATTTTATGCTCTTCCTCTACCAAGACTCTTTAAGGCTATGTAGCAACAACTCCTTTGGAGAAAGCAAATAAACAGGAAGGAAGAAAGACGAAAAGAAAGAGAGAGAGAAAAAAAGAGGAGGGAGGGAAGGAAAAAATAGAAAAGGGGAAAAAAAGGAAGGAAGAGTTTTTTGCTGTTTTTATTGTTTTTTAGTTAGTTTTTTTTTTTTTTAAAAAAAAGCAATGGTATCACTTCTGTGTCTTTCTCTTATAAGTTACAAGAAAAAAAATAAAATCTAAATTTTTTTAGAAACTATCGTCTAGGTGATAGCTGTATGTTGTTGAAGGTACATTATCCTCTGTACTTTCTGAGGTCCCCATTGATGGCATTTAACTATCAAGATTTTCTGCATTTTAATAAAATTGAAAAAAAAGGTTTTTAAAATTTTCCCTCCAAATATGTCTGCAGTCTAGAGTCTCCAACCTGGTAAAATTTGAAAATAGTATATGGTTATGGATTTTAACATTTTAATTCCTGGATAAGACTGTTCTGTTAGCACATGTTAATGAGGTGTCATACCTTTGAGGAATTAATCAGAATGACATTAGGAAAGACATGGGCTTTCCTGTCACAGAAAATTAAAAGTATTGTCTACTTTCTTTATTAACAATAATTAATTATTTGAAGCTAGGTTGTAATATCTTTCCATATTTTCTGAGAATGAGTAAACACCAAATGTAGTCTCAAGAAACTGCATGACATCCAAATCTACTATAAAATAAAATATAATTGGTTAATTCTACTAGGCATCTTGAGCTACAAGTTTATATTTAGTGGGACGATTTAACTATTTGGTAACAGATTTTCAGTATTATGGTTAATGAATGAGTAAAAAGATTTTTCTCATTCATTATTGGATCTTTAGCTCTGATGATATTTACAGATGCAATAAGGAATGCTGAATTAAGTTGGAGAAATTAAATTAACTACTTGTAGGTAGCTGAGATGACATATTCTCAAGTAAGCCTTCTCCAAAAATCTTAGCTGGGATAAATTCTTCTCCTCCCTACTCCTAGGGCAACCCATAAATCCCTTTATTAATATTTACCATGACAGGTTAAAATTCTGGATCTTTTCTTTCACAAGATTTAACTATAGTCAAAAGAAATGATTATGAATGATTCATTGTAATATCAGCAGCTGCTGCACTCAGGGGCTAACAGATGCTAGGTGCTCAATAAGTGCAGGCTAAACTCAACTGTCAATGAAATATAATAGCTGATAAAATAAAATTAAATGTTAGAGTGAGTTATAAAGCTGTTTGACCTGGGGAATTTTAGCAGAGGAGGAGATCAATAAAGTCCAGAAAGGCTTTCCAAGAAAGTTAGGACTTAATTTATGCCTTTTATCCAGGAGTCTAAGAACGAAGCAAAATTATTTCCAGGAAGTGAAAAATATCACTGATAATAAGTGATATTTTAAGATAATATTAATTTAAGATAATAAATTAATGATATGATATTTAAGATAATATTATTGGGAATAAGTAATCTGTATTGATGGACAAGAGAGGTGACTGATCGACAAGAGAGTAAGACTGTGTTCCTGAGAAGAATGGAAATTAGATTACATAATTCAATTAGTATCATACTATAAAGTGTCAGGAAAGCCCAAAGAATAATTTAGAGCAGATGCAAAAATAAAATAAAATGACTAAAGTTATCTGAATAATTAAGTTTATTAAATATTCACAAAATATTTACTTCAGAGAAGGCATTAATCTAGGTTCTGCAAGGGATCCTATGATAGTTGTTGATTAAGCCCCCCAACTCAATTAATAGACACCAAGATCAAATCAATAGTAGAACCAAAAGCAAAGCCACATCATCTGTTTCTCTAAAACAAACAAATGGTGTTTTTGGAACACCTATTGTATATTCTTCAACTATAGTGCCACAAAGTAATAAAAGGTTTTTAATATGCAGGAGTCCCTAAGGTACCTATTTAAGAAATACATGTACAGTGAAATATGTATGAACTTAAAAAAAATGAGAGAGAGATTTAACTAAATTCCCTAAGTTCAGCTAGATGAGAAGGTGTAAAGATTTGAAGCTAAGTAGAACTCATAACAATCCAAAGAGAAGATACTGAGATATTTTTGAAGGATACTAGACTTGAAATCGGAAAATCTGGGTTGGTCCCTAAATTAAGTGTTAGCCATTTACCATTCATTTTTCTAAAATGTATGTTACTATCTCAGAGGCTTCCTGGGAGTGTTAATTGAGATTATATCTGCTGAAAGTCCTAGTATAGTAGCACGCAGTAGATGTTACATAAATATTTAAATCTGAATCTACCTAGAAGATAAATTTTGTTTGCTTCAGAGTTTTCATAAGATATATTCTGGCTTTAATATAGTCAGCTATCAATATCTGAAACACTGTGGTATATACTGTCTATCTACAATGAGTCAGATTGCATGGAAACTTGGCTAAAAGAAAATCTCCTGTCCTCTGTGAAGCAACAAAACGACTTTTTTTCTTTACTGTAGGTTAGTTATCCTTGACATGCAGCCCAACAGGGCAACTGTGTTCTGGTCAGGTTTGCCTTTTCAACTGTAACGCTCCCTTTCTTTCTCTCATCAGATGATCCTCTTTTCAGCCTGCTGTATCTGTGGACTCATTGGCGGCATCCTGAATTTTCAGTTCCTCCGGGCAGTCACAAAGAAAACTTCCTCCCTATATCCTCTGCACCTTGCCTCCATGTCTCTTGCGTGCATTGGGATCGGATGCTGTACTCTCTCTTCCTGGCTCACTTGTCGACTAGCCAGCTATGAACAGAGGAGGATGTTCTCAGAAAGGGAGCATTCCCTTCATCATTCTCATGAAATGGCTGAGAAAGTGAGTTTTGTACCTTTTCCTCTCACTGCTAGCACGTGATAAAGACTGCAGTCCACTCTTAGTGAATCAACTTGAAACTTTAGATTGAGATTTGAAGAATCAGATTTTTATACATTTGGCTCTACTGGGTAGAAAATGGAAACATTTAGTAATTTTTTTCTAAAAAACGTTTTTTTTCTAAAAACTGGGTAGAAAATAGTAAATTTTTTTTCTCTGCAATTCATGGGTACATGAATTTTCAAAAAAAAATTGTAGTCTGTCCATTCAAAAGCACAGTGCCTAAAATAGTATTTCATAAAATATTGAATACCTTATAAGTATGGATTTTTATGTATTATAGCGAGGAAAAACACAAATACCAAATATACTCTCCACTCAATAATGCCAGTTTTAGAAATTGCGTGAATTCCCTTTTCTAGTTCTTCCCTTGTTCTTTTAAGGAGACGAATTTGATTGTGTAAATTTGGTCTTCAAGTATAAAGAGGCTTTTAAATAAGGTGACAAAAAGCCTTGTCTATCAGTGCAGATATTGCTATATATAAAGCTTCATTTAATTCTCACCTAAACTTATGCATACATGGATAGATTTGCCTGTATTTTAAACAGTTGTCCTTGCATACTTGTTTCATAAAACCCATATAAATAGAAAGTTAAATTAATTGTATAAAAGGACAAATCATATAGTATGATGTCTATGTTTCGATTGCATTTTGCGCATATTTCTTAATTCAGCTCCTGCTATTGGCTCTGGTAGAGAAAAGAGGAAACATTTGTAAAATGAACTCACTAAGATAATGACCACATTATATTTTGCTTTATATCATGGAAATAAAATTGCATAACCATAGAACAGAATTAATAATAGCAAGACTTACTGTACATTTCTTTATAATGTTACTTTGAAGGAATAATATTTATTCTGTAGCGTTTCCATTTTGTGTACAGTCTATATACTCAAATCAGGAGGGCAAATGTTCTTAAATTGACTCAAGAAAGCAAAGTTAGTCAGAGCTATGCATGCCCGTCATTAAAGAATTCATAATATACATAGCAGGACTTCAGTAATTTAAATGATTGTTGAAAATAGATGGTCATTATATGTGTACATATGAATAGTAGCTCTTTTGTGCTTTATTTTTATACTAGTTTTATTTAGTTTTCTGTATATATTTGTGCAATATTTATTGTATGATTGTTATATTTACATTAGAGATTGAGGGCTATTGAAATAACCGACTTGCCCAGCTGCCCGGTGGTGCCCCCGACACCAGAGTTACCTACAAGGTACGCTGATTTCTAGGGAGTTACCATGTTGTAATGTCACTGCAGAAAGCACTACCCCTTCCAGAAAGCCATGATGTCAACAGATCAGTCTGAACTGAGGTTGTTTAGTGTTGTTTCTCAAAGTATCGCTTGCATAAGCACTTACTTTGCAGAGCTGACTACATGGCAGAGTCTTGCAGCTTGAAAGTTGGTTGAGTATTTAAAATACTCAGCCTGCCTATAAGCATCCAAGCACATTTCTGCTTGGATGTGTCATGACTCCTTTTATTCTCAGCTACTTCATCATTCTGACTCAATATCATCATTCATGGGCTAGAATTTTGTTTTTAATAATAGATATGTCTGGATAAAGACAAACTGTGTATTTCCCTCATGTTAAAATTGCATGAGAAGATAGCCAAAGTTGGATACTAATACAGTAAAATTTCCATATGAAAATTTTCTTCTTGTAAAATTATCTTATGTGATATATTTTAAATTTAGTTCACATATTTCAAATTGCTAAAAATAAATAGTAATGGCTCTTTGTTTGCTCAAATAAAATAATTGGACATACAGAAAGTCACATGGATACTATGGCCCATTTGCAGAAGGTCCATTTGCAAATAGTCACATTTGGTCCAGCCCAAATTGAAACTACAATCTTCCTGTTAAATTAAGCATGGCTATTTGCAAATAAACTGGAGACTCACTCATTTTAAAACTAATTTTCGCCATTATTTCCTATCAGTGATTTTACTGAGTTCATGCTAGAGTGAATTCAGTAAGAAAATTCTTATTTTGTAAAAATTTTTAAAACTGCTTTACAAAATTCTGCAATAAAAGGTTAATATAACAGATTAACTTTTTATGGTTTTTTAAGCAGTTGAGTGCAAAGTCGTTGTAGAAGGAGAAAAGTCACCTAATAGATTTATGTAAATCTATTAGAAATTTGATTTTTCTCCTAGCAGGTAGAAAGGTAGAATAGGAAATGTAAATTTTGTTGAAGGTCATTGGGGAAGGGGGTGATTTCTACTTATTTTGCCATCAATGGTGAGTTCCTCAGTGAAGCCTCAAATCAGATTTCTGAGCTATAAACTTAATTCCAGCGCAAAAACTAATATATTTTCAGATTTTTTCATCACATACATCTCTAGGAGATTTTCACCAAGTACATCTCTTGCAGATTCTCCAAACAGAACTAGATAGAAATAGATAGAAATGAAATAAATTAAAAAATAATTTCCACTTGTAATTTTCTTTTAGTGCTCTGTTGCAAATAGGCTTGTTCAAGCATGGAAAGATGCTGCCAATCTATTTTTACATAATTTTACTGACATATTTTTAGTATGATGCACAAACCATTATAATACAAATGGGCTTCACATCTCATCACTTTTTATTATGTTGGGAAGGTTTTAATATTTAATAAAACATGAATTAAAAGCATCAAAATTTTTCTTAATATATTTCATATAATTGAAAATGAAACTTTTAATGCTAGTTTGTCCTTTGCATCTATATTTTCAATGCTATTCTATATAGTTTTACTTATTAACTTTTTAGTAATTGATCCATTAAAAACATGTTAAGAGATTTCACTATTTTTTTTTTTTTTTTTTTTTTTTTTTTTTTTTTTTTATTGAGACAGAGTTTCTGCTCTTGTTACCCAGGCTGGAGTGCAATGGCACGATCTCGGCTCACCGCAACCTCCGCCTCCTGGGTTCAGGCAATTCTCCTGCCTCAGCCTCCTGAGTAGCTGGGATTACAGGCACGCGCCACTATGCCCAGCTAATTTTTTTGTATTTTTAGTAGAGACGGGGTTTCACCATGTTGACCTGGATGGTCTCGATCTCTTGACCTCGGCCTCCCAAAGTGCTGGGATTACAGGCTTGAGCCACCACGCCCAGCTGAGATTTCACTATTTTTGCTCTTACTGGAAGAGTGATAGTGTCATGAGAAACAATTTTTCCTACTATGATTTTTTTAGTGATCCATAGTTACAAATGAGCAATGATCCCCTTGTAAGCTTTTTTCTCTTCCTGGCAAAAAGGCCACACATTTTTCTATAGAATAAAGGTCACCTCTAGAATGCATTGGTACTTTGTTGACATGTTCAGCAGAGGAGCCCATGCATTAGAAAACTTGTGCATTTAACCATCTTCTTTCTAGGTGAGATCTTTCCAAAATTGAGTTGAAGAAAAAAGAGGAAACTCAGAAAAGTGTGGAAAGAATGAACCGTTGTTGTGGGTAGAATATTTCGGTCTAACAGACTGTTACTTCAGCATTTTCATGTGCTCCAATGCAATGGAATTTTATTTCCTCAAATAAAACAGCAATATCCTTATGTTTCCCCAAAACTTAGCAAGTTTTTCAATGGATTGAAATTTCTGTTTTGTGAACTCATTAACCAAAACAATGTCATATTCCAAAAGTGAATTTTAATTAATCATGTCATTTTTTCTAACAGGAAGTGACAGACAACATGAGTAATGGAGGACCACAACTGATATTTAATGGAAGAGTATAATCAATGTTTTAAAGAATTGAACATTTTTAGGATTTTCAGGGGTCAATGAGACACCAAAGGACTAGAAAATAAAACAGTTTTTGCATTTGCATTTATCTCTCCTGAGCATTCACTAAAATTATTCTTCCTAAATATTGCCTCTTATTTCTCCACCCTTTTTTATGGGGTAAAAAACTTTTTGAAACATTCTAGTACAATAATTTCAAGAGGCTTTCCAGATTGTTCTAAAGAAGACTTTTCAGGAAAGAGAAATAATGAAACAGAAATAAGATGCATATTCTATACAAACACTATTTGACTAGCATGATTATTACATTTATAATGACATATTTCATATGAGTAATTGAAAAGTGCAAATATCAAGAAATAAAAATAACTTATTGATGTCTTTGTTTTGAAAGACAGATGGCTTCAAGGATGCCACAATTCAAAACCTCAGCAATGCCTTGTTATAAACACATTGTAATTATTTTCAACTTGTGAATGAAATATATTTCATAACTTCTTTGTAAATGACAAAAAACCTCAAGCATAAAAAAAAGACCTTTTAGAGAGAGAGAATACTAATCTGTATGGTATTTTTGCACTTTTGCACAAAGAGCGAAAAGTTGTATATGACTATCATTCAAGAAAATAAATGTGTTTTGATCATACTGTGCAGATTGATCTGCATGTTCATGAATGAGTCTAAGAATAAAGTATGTGTGTGAATGTATGTATATATACTGTAAATATAGAACATGTATACAGCATATATTATGGCATACATGAATGTAAATAGGTATTAGAAAAGAAAGTGTGATGCTGTGGAGATATTACTAAGATGCTACTCCAATAGAAATGGGAAGACAATTGCTTAAGGCTTTTCCATGCCCCCAAAATCATGTTTAATTTCTATTAAATTTGCCCTTTTTTCTTTTTATTATGTTTGTTTTGTGTAAATATCATTGTGGCTGATAAGAAGATGAATGATCTGAATAGTGTGGTATATAAATAGATTAGTTATTTGGTTATTTTACTATGATTATAGTATTTATGTATAGCAATTAAGATTAATTTATAAACACACATGACTTTAATGGCATATTTCCATATTTATAAGGACATCGCAACTTAAAATTATTGATGGTATTGCTTTTTCAAACGTCTTTCAGTCCAACTGAATGATACAAAAGGGCAAATGACGTACCCCCCAACAACGAAGTCGTAATTACCTTTGCTATAATTTTAAGTGTTTTGTTTTACAATTCTCATGAAATAATATAGGCAGTCTATATATAAGAAAGCATATATCCAAAGATCCTGCAAGAGTTCCTTGTGGGGAAAAAAAGATAGACTAACATTTATATAGCTAGATTCAATCATCTCCTCTAATAATGGAATGTTAAAATAGCAAACAAGTACAACACATATAAGTGAAAAAAACGACATATCTTTGAATATATTTATGAGAATATAACCTCTGGCAACAGACAAAGAGATCTATTATTTTTAAATCTATAACTCTCACTGTATTGTACACTTTTCTTTGTCCACAAAGCTAATCAATTTCCACATCCTTTTTTATGAGTTACTTATTGAATATAGGTAAATTAAAATATTTAGATCCAGCTTGAGAATATAATTTATAAACAAAACATGAGTTTTAATTGTGCTAACACAGTAATAATAATTCAAGTTAATGAAAATTTAAAGGTCTATTATTTTATAGTAACATGATAATCATTAACTTATTTAAACCTGCTGATTTAAAATTCTAGCTGTCATCTATTCCACAGAAATAACTGAACTCTGCTTGTTTGGTGTAGTTTTTGAAGTCTCCCAATTATTTTGGATAACTTCATTGCCTAGTAGATTACAGAAGTTGTCTATAAATGCAAACTCAAATAGCTAATCAACATCATAACTATTCATTTGATTTCACAAACAGGCATGACCTTTGCCAATGAAAATCTAAATTACATCATGAAGATGTGTGTGTGTATGGTCATATGGAAGTCATGAAGGGATGTAGTTTTGTACTGAAAGAATAAACACTGACTCTAATTTTCAGTGAGATTTCTCTATAAACATGTTTGTACAATATAAAATTATAATACATCAGAAAAATGTTGTAATGCCTTATGAACTAAGTTATAACATAACACATTAAAGGACAAAAGGAGGCATATCACTGCTTTGATGTATAGTTATAAAGAGATGCAATCATCACAATTATTCAAATAGTTTACAGTATATGTTTAACCAACTATAGATACATTTTAAAATATGATTATTTCAACCCAGTGTTTTTGGAGTTGAGTTTAGAATCATTTACTTGGGATGTATAGTGATTCTTTTTTAGATAGGTGGGGGATGTTAGGAAGATATTGTTCAAGTACTTGAAAATTTATTTTGGTCAATATATTGAACCACATGTTGGAATGTTTTAAGTGACTACCTTATAGTTTTAGTATAAACCTACCCTTGGAAAAAAGTAAGGTGATACTAAATTAGAAAAAAATATGTGAAACTGTAGGGGTGGTATGCTTTGGGCCATATCAAATAGGTAGAGGTATTATAAGCATAAAAGGATAAAAGTGGGCTCTTCTTGGAAATCTTAAACATATATATGTGTATGTGTGTGTATATATATATGTATATGTGTATATATATATGTATATATAACACACTGGTTTGGAAGTGGAACATGATATGATAACTCTACTGACATGTCTATAATAAAATGATGTGCTTTGAAATTGGATATGGTGTTGGCTTTTTTTCATTGTAATACAAAAATAGTTTCCTCAATAGCTGCATGAATAAATGTGCTATACTGAAGAAGGCAAGGGATGGCCTGGTGTGAATGAAGGGAAAGAGACAGTCACAGCTGAAGGATAAATAAGAATATTATTTGAAATACAAAAGCTAGATAGAACATGTTCAAATATAGAGGCTGATTGAAGACATGAAATAAAATGATTATAATAAGAATGTGAAGCCCTACAGACGTAAGAAAATATGATACCTATTATATGAGACAGAATTGCCTATGGTAGGACAGAGATTGCAGTTGATGTAACAAATTAAACCACAGTATTTAGAGAACTCTGATGGCCTACTTGAGTTTGTCAAATTAGTTGCTATTGGCATTTGGGCTGGATAATAACTTATTATGCAGACTGTCCCATGCATTTCAGGCCATTTAGCATCTCTGGTCTCCATCCACTAAATCCCAGGGTTCACTCTAATCATTTTAATAACCAAAAATGTCCTAACATTTTTGGTTAATAAAAAATGCCTACCTGTTTCTTTGGTAGAGAGATATTACCCAGTTAAAAACTACTGAGGAAATCCTTGGAAAATAATTCAGAGCAACCAATTTTAATGCTACCCATAAGTGAAGACTTGAATTGCTCAAGGTCATAAACTCACTGTTCTAAGGTTTACTTACACTATTTCCTATGGTACCATTATCTATATGTGACTATTTAAATCAAAAAATTAATTAAAACAAAAAGAATATTTTTATTTCTCAGTTTCTCCATCAAACTACATATTCCAAGTGTGAAATATGGGAAACAGTTAAAGAATATTCCCATCATTTCAGAAAGCTCCATTGAATAGTGCTAGTCAAAAACACATAGAGGAACTTCCCATGTCCCTCAGTCCTTGCACAAGTTCTTGCACAATTAACCAATTATCATTAAAGCTGAAAATGTGAAAGGAGTTGGTAAATACTCCATGGAATTTGAAAGTTGATTCACCAACTAGAAATCCATGAACTGAGCAAAACTTGTAAAAACTAGCAGATGTGGGAGAACAACCCATAATAAAGTAGAAAAAATGTTTTTAGAGATTTCATATTTAAAAACTTTTGCTCAAAATGATTCCAGTAAATTACTAAAAACTGTATGTTTCACAAGCAAAATGAGATGTTGTGTAACCCCTATTTTTGAAGAATTTTACTCTATTACATGTGTCAAGGGATACTCTGCATTTCTTGTGCCTGGGAATGTGAGAATAATGAATATATGGTCCTCCACTTTATTCTTTGACTTAGTTCAAAATGGTGTATTTAAAAACCTTATGTCCCAAATTACATTTTCAAAATTATTTAGCAAACATATTTCAGAAATTTTGAGGAGCATCTTCAGTATCATTTAGTTAGAGCACTGTTTCCAAATAAAATTTCAGAACTTGGCAGCTCTTCACTCTTTAAGTCATTTTTTCTGGAAACATATGTAATATTTCTTACTCGAAGTATATGACAGCCAAGAAATTCAATTATTCCAATCCATAAATCACAGAGTGTCAGTTACTCATAGCAGGGGAAACCAACTCAGAAAATGCTGGAAATGTGGATGCCTAGCAAAATGATACAGAGGGGTTTCTTTTTTACTCCCTTTGCTAGGAAGACTTTGAGTGCAAGAGTTCTTTACTCGGAATGAAAATGGATTTCCCAAGTAATATATTGCTTAAAAGCCAAGCTATAGATTTAATGAAATTATTTCAATATTTTAACACTTCAATATTATCTACATCAACTAATTATAGTGGAAAGAGACTCCTGAATTGTAGGCAGAAAGCCTTCACTTAGTTGGAAACCTTGTCATCTTTACCTTCCTCTACATCTACTAGGGACTCTTACTTTCACTTTTCTTCACTGAAAGGCTCCACCTTCTTCAGGCACAATGCATTGCAAGCCTTTTCCCAATGCCAGAAGGTATTATATGCTACTGAAATTGCCAAGAAGACTCTAGAACTTGGCTGAAACTTCACAGAAAAGTCTAAAATGTGGTCAAAAATTCAAGAAGTGTTGTATTAGCTGCAAGTAATTGGGACTCATGACTGCTCTTTGGAATCCAATCTGGGTATTGATCCCCACCTAATCATTCTATAACATCCATCCTGGGAATAGGAGCCAGGGTTGTGGTACACTAAAAGAAATCTCTTGAAATAGCCAGGGTTATTGCCCAGGAAAGAAAAGCTACTGATTCCTTTTGGGGAGGCTCTATTTGCCAGCACTACCCCTCACTCTGAACTATAAGTCAGTCCAAGGAGAAGTCAACTTTGTACATATGTAAGTACGCTAAGGGCTTGTTTGGATAGCGGTCTGAATGTCCACTTCTTTCATTACTATTCAAAAAGGCTTTTGAGAGCCAGACTTCTGTTTCTGTCTTCTAACTGTATTAGCATTCTTATATCAACCTTTGAGAAAACAAAATAAAAGCCCCAACGTTCTGTATAATAAAATGAATTGCTGGAGAGAAGGTCAAGTTTCCGAGTCACAGTATGTTCAGTAGTGGTAATATGAGCCTATTGCAGTTTACCAGCAAAAGGGATGCTGGCACAGCAAGTGAAAAATAAGCATTTGTCAAGCTTTATTTAACAAATGCTATTATAATATACATTATCTGTAAATGTGAATATCCCTCTATTATATTAATATTACTTATTTAACATGAAATAAGAAATAGAATAAATAAGAGAAAGGTGGGTAGATATTGTTTTACCTGAAAAGTGAGGCCATTTCTGATGGTACTACTGAATCTTAAAGCCATTTAGCCAAATCATGCAACATGTATGTGTGTGTATATATACATGTCTATACTCACACACACATATGGGCATACACACATACTCTCACACTTAGGTCCATAAAACAAACCAATTCTGTTCCATATGAACCATTCCCCTTTATTTAATCTACTTCTTTTGATTTTAGATTCAAATTTATGGTTCTATGATGCTGCCTTGATTTCAGTTTCTGGTGCCTGCCCTTGAACCTAAGACTTTGTCTCTCCAGTTGTCAAGCTTCGACAGCTACCTTCAGTCATTTCACTCTAGACATTTGGGTTTAACAAAACTCACTACTCCAGAATCAGCGAGTGAAATCCAGCTTTGGTCACTGAGGCAGCAGCAGCTAGTGAGAAAAGTGACAGTTTTAGTCACTTGGCCGACAAATATGTGCTGAGATTGGAAACAGGAATTCAAAGAAAGGATCTCAGACAACTGAAAGAAAACTTGAGTTTGATAAACCTTGAATTTAAAAAGAATGGAAAATCTAGGAGGTAATTGGAGACAGACAGAAAGCTGTAACTGAGAAACAGAAACAAGATCACTTTTCCCCTAGGCTTTTGATAAGGTGCTTGATAAGGTGCTTGGATGAACCTGTAGGCTATAGAGAAAACTAATTTGGTCGTGAACAAAATTCTTCCCTTCTATTAAAGATATGTTCATTTCTGATAGGCTCTGTATTTTTCCACTTTTAAACATCGAGTTTAGTCTATTCGACTGTGCCAAAGATTTCAGAAGAAAAGGTTTGATTTAAGCTGTACTTAATACTGTCAGTATCACCCTAAAGCCAATATGGTACAAGACAACGGGAATCGCAACAAAAAATGTCAAGGCAGAGGGAGACACAAAGATATAGAGTAGCTTGCATTTATTCGTTAAATTTGATGAATACTCAAAATTATACCCTTCAGTGAAAATTTTGAAATTCCAGATATTTTAATAACAAATGTGGCCTCAAAATAATGACTTCTTCTTTTTTGAGCGGGGGCAGGGAGGAGTTTCGCTCTTGTTACCCAGGCTGGAGTGCAATGGCGTGATCTCGGCTCACTGCAACCTCCGCCTCCTAGGTTCAGGCAATTCTCCTGCCTCGGCCTCCTAAAGTGCTGGGATTACAGGTGTGAGCCACCGCGCCCGGCCTTAAAGGAATGACTTCTTTTGTAAATTCCTACAGGGCATTTTTCACAACAGGGCAAGTTCACTTTGCCATTGGACAAAGATAAATTCATGACTGTAATAATTTCCAAAGCATAGATGTATTAAGCAACCTGTAGCTGTAAGGGGAAGTCTAATATAAATTGTGTTTGATTACTTCAGAATAAATTGTATATCAAAAGGCATTGCATCTAAATTGCATTTTTTAAAATTACCATCCTGAAATTTTCCAGATCACATTCTTTGGAAGTATTTAATGACAAAAATCTTGGAGTTCATACCTACACAGATTCTGCAGTCAGCAGGTGGTTTATTAAACGACAGCATTAAAGTAATCTTCAAAATACAGAAAGAAAACTGTTTTCTATTTTTGTTCTGCACTGAGCAAAAGACAGGTGGAGGTAAATGAGAATTTCCACGGCACCTTTGCAAACCTCCCAGCCAATTGTATTAGCCTGATTAATTGGCTTTGAAACCACTTGAAGGAAAGATGTTGAAATTCGGTTGAGATACCTTGTTTGCCTCTTCCCAACCTCTAGAAGCAGTCGTCAGTGCTCACATCTACATGTATGCATACCCATGCACATCCACACACCTCAAATTTATTTTATTATTTAAGCCAATTTTTGGATGGAATCTTTTATCCAAAGTGCTATGCAGTTGCCTTCCCGACCTTTACCTAGATAGCTAAAAAATTGGCATGACTTTATTTAGGTCCACATTTTAAAACTCAGGTTCGGGTTTAAACCATATGTGTGTCGGGGGGGGGGGCGCGCGTGCGCGCGCGTGTGTGTATCTGTGTGTATGTAATACAATGTGCTCTGTATTATTTCCTCATTCTCTGCAGGCACATGTGTATCACTTAGTGTCAACAGTTTAACAAGCAAGTAAAGAAGGCTTCAGAGTCAAAAATTTATCCTAAGTTCTCTTCTGAAGAAGGATTGTAGATAAAAACAAGCCATCAATAAAGAGTTGCCGTTCACTTTTGTCATTTCTATAGTCCTTAGGCTAAAGCAATACTTTACAAATTTAAGCTCATTTTTGCCATCTGCTGGCAAATTTGTGAAATACAAGTGGTCTACATCAAACGTTTGGTTGATATATATTACATATATTTGGCTGAAACTGGTGCTTGTTTGACATCTCCCCAATCCTACTAAAATGTTAATATTTACCAATTTGGTCAGATTCTTACCTTAGCATTTTAAGGCAGAGATTAAATACAATAAACTATCAATTTCTACAATTTCCTTCATCAGTTTTAGTTACGGACGGAAAAAGTGAGGATCTTTTGTGATTGAAAGCATAAGTTATGGGATAAGTCATGCCTTGGTTAGATTCCTTTATTGTTAAATAGCTGGATATTTTGGAGAAGTCATTCATTCATTCACCCAAGAAATATGTTTTAGGCCCTGGATATATGACTGTTAGCAATACAGATAGGATTGCTACCATCATGAGGCTGACATATTTATTTAGAATCCAGGCTCCTCATTTGTAAATATATGCTATTATTGCAATAAATTCATAAAGATTATCTGCCAGTGATTTGTCTAGGGTACTTGGTATAGCACCTGGCAGGTTTGTAATAAAGTTTATCCATGATAATGCTGGTCATTGTGATGTTGACACTCATCACTCATTCCACCAATTTGATAAAACCAGTCATATTAACATGATTAAATCCTTCCTGTTTTTATCCAGGGTGGGCATTCCTAGGGACTTATATACACCGGATACATGACAAAAGAAGCTTCTGAGGCAAAGAACAAAGTATATGAGACCAGATGTACTGCATTGGACTGACATTGTGGAAGTTCCAGAGTCTAAACAGGAGATCTTGTGTGTTTCCTGCTCTATCTTGGATATCTGCATAGCTGCCAGGAAAGCAAGCTCACTCGAGCCAGCTGGCACACAAGACACATGGGGCCACATATGAGGACAGATGTAAAAGTGAACCCAACTGAATCCTACCCAAATTTGTCCCCATAAAACTATGAGAAAAATTAATCGTTTTTTTAAAGTTACTAAATTTGAGGATAGTTTGTTATGTACCAAAAGCTAACTGTACAATGGCATTTTTTCATGGAATACTCATTATAGGAAAAAATTTTTATTCAAACTATTACACATAGTCAAAAATTCCTGTCTGATTCCATTTCTTCATGTAATCCTACTGTAATAATTTTAGCTTTTTGAAAAATGAAAGAAATTTGCCTAACATCACACATCTAGTAAGTGGCAGAGCCAGGATCTGAACTCAAGCAATGTGACATTAGCATCTAGGTAGGCTCTTCACTTTACATTAGACTGGTGCAAAATGCAAAATATGTGTGGTTTTTCCTACTAAGAATAATGGCAAAAACCACAATTACTTTTGCACCAACCAACACTGTGAAACCAACTAAAACTATAGGATTTCCTGTAACAACTGTAATCCTCTGATTAAGTTTCTGATTTTTTTCAGTGTAAAACATGAAAATCATATATACAAATTCACAGAAGTAAAAGAAAAGCATCAACTCACACTCGAGAGATGACTAACATTAATACATGGTACAGACATGTGTGGCTTAATGACAAGGATACATTCTGAGAAATGCATCATGAGGCAATTTCGTCAATTGCATGAACATCACAGCGTGTACTTCCATAAATCCAAATGGCATATCTTACTATGCACTTACATTATATGGTGTGCTATGCTAATCTCCTTCTTTATCAGTTTTGATCATATACGAAGAAAAAGTGAAGATCTTTAGTAATTGAAGGCATAAGTTATGGCATAAGTCATGCCTAGGTTAGATTGCCTGATTGATAAATAGCCTATTGCTATTTAGCTGATTGATAAATAGCCTGTAGCCTATTGCTCTTAGTCTACAAACCTGGACAGCGTGTTACTGAACTGAACACTGTAGGAAACTGTGACATGGTGGCAAGTATTTGTGCATCTAAATACATCTAAACATAGAAAAGATACAGCAAAAATATATGGTATTATAAACTTACAGGGCCACCGTCATATAGGCCAGTTGACGTTGAACAAACCATAATTATGGGGCATATGACTGTATTTGTGCATCTAGATTTTTTTCTAAGCATGTAAGTGTGCACATGTCCTATAAAAATCAGAGCATATGGTACATATTACTTTGTATCCACCATCATTGATTTCAGCAAACCACCAATTTTTTCACATTTATATTGTTCCAGAGATGATCTGATTGTGAGGAATAGAAACACACTAATATAATAATAAGGTATATGTGTGTGCATGCCAGAGGTGTCAAGGTCAATGATAAAATAATAGTTGCAGAGAGATTTTCTCTCTCTCTTTCTCTGAGGCCATTTGTTGTGGGGTCAAAATTATTTCTAACCTTCCTTCTCCTCCTTCTAGAATGAAGATCTCAGCACATTGCCTTTGACTTGACAGAGCTTTTCATGAGGCAGGGACCACCATTGCCTTTCTGCGGAACATGGACAAATTTTAGAGAGAAAAAAAGATTTAGTTTAACTACATATCCTTGAACAAATAAACTTTGTACATGTCTATGGGGTAGTGTAGGTTGGAGGAACTCGTGGGATTACTGTTTTCTTCCCTGTGTCAAAGGTGAAACAGGTTAATTTGTAAAGTAACTCCATCATGGTGAACACTGGCATGCAGGCAGAATCGCCTTGTACTCTCCCAAATCATGCAGAGTATAGATAGCAGCTAGCAATCAAGCCAGAATTTTAAAAACTGAAAATTAGAAAATCAGTTTCAAAATTAAACAAGCAAACTTCTAACTGCAACTGGACTCTCATAGGATTACAAAATTACTCCACGATGCACTACAGTTAGTAGCTGTGAAAGATTATTACTTGGGTATTTGATTTCAGATAATGTTTTCATTTGGTCAAATTGTCAAAAATGTCAGCTTGTCTTTTACTAAATTCTTTTTTGGCTAAATTGTTTTCATTCAAATCACTTGCAGCTGGTCTAGATCCATCTTGACTGTAAGGCATAGTCACCTGGAGAGATTCTGATTGAATTGGTCTGGGATGTCGTCAGGGCATCAGGAGTTCTTAAAGCTCCTCACCTTGAGTGACTTCATGGTTTAGCCAAGTTTGAGCACACTGAACAAAAGGGTCCTGCACAGGGCTATTAAAGGACTTTGCAACAAAATCAAGGTAAAGGCCATTATGTTTCCCATGTATGGACTTAAAATGTCTAATATTAGATTTTGGGGGCAGTTTCATCCGACTATCATCTCATGCTGAGTTTGCAGTCATTTAAGGAATATCAAAGAAAATATTTTTTGTTTGTCTTGTTTGATCCTCCTATCATCTCTCTAAGGTAGTATTATTTTTCCTATTTTACAAGTCAGAAATCAGGTTGAGAGAGGTTAGAGGCATTTTCCAGTATCTAAGAGAGAAGGGAATATGTCAGTATTCACATCACTGCTATATGTGTCTCTTGCACTTACCCAGAGTAACCCTTTTCCACTTAGGTTGTGAGTTCTTTATCACTTATTTATTAACTTATTATCAGGTTATTCATTCAGGATGCATTGATTGGGTTTTTCTTAGTTTTGGTTCTGTTTCTTTGGAGGAGGGATGAGACATGTGGGCCACTGCAGTGAACAATACAGATTATGGTACCCGCTTTAGTGACTGTAGGAATCTATTGATGGAACAGGCAAGCAAATGGGCTGTTAATATAAAATTAACGTAAAAACGAACATAGATGGTTACTTACTCCTTATAGAGAAAAAGGAATAGGGTGGTTGAAAACTCTTTGAGAAGGAACAGAATGTAAAATCTAAGCTAAAAATTCATAGATGAGTAGAAGTTACCCTTGTGAAAAATGTTATATTCCCTGATAGAAGCAACAGCTTAAGACTAAAGAAAGAGACCTGAGAGTGGATTAAGGAGCATGATAACATTAGGGCGGGGAGTCTTGCAGCTGGTCTAGATCTTGTGACAAATGAAGCTGAAGAGAGAAGCTGTGGGCTGATCACAAAATGGCCTTGTAACTTATAAACCATTTTCAGGAGTTTATGTTATCCTGGAGGGACACAACATGATCACATGTTTCAGGGAAGCTCTGGCTGCCGCAGAGTGTCCTCCCGACCATTAAGCTAGGCTTCCACAGGCAGAGTGTCCTGAAGTTTTGGCAGCAGGAGAAGAGGATAGTGTCCAAATACAATATTTATACATAAGGCAATACAGGCCTTCAGGCTGATGTGATATTTGGGGATACAAAAGAGGATCCGAGGCTGACACCTTGGCTGTGACGTGATTCCCTAATTTAGCAATTGCATAATGAGGAGAGAAGCGGAACAGGAGAGAAATAGTGGGCCCGTTTTCAGACATGTTGCATTTTAATTATCTGAGCTGTTGCTTAGGATTTCGTGTACTGCATAAAATATACTCCATAAATATTTTGAATCTTTATTGTACAGTACAAGTTTGTAAAATTGTACCAAACCACCTTACCACTGGAAATTATCAAACTGAGAACCCCCCTTTTTAAGCTACCTAGTAAATAAACCCAGTAAGTTTCAGTGGGAAAAACACACATTTGCCCGCCCTCAAAAAAGCAGTTGTTTGGCTTCGCGCATGCTCAATATGTACTTGGGGCTCTTAAACTCCTCTTCAAAGAGCGAAAAACCTGTTTCCCCCTGCTGGCCAGACTGCGTAATGCAGCGTCAAGAGGGCAAATTCCTAGGGGCGTGGTAGTTGGTGGATGACGTAAAAAGAGCGTCGGGGACAGGCGATTGCGCTTGCGTCAACGGTGCGCGCCGCGGGAACCTTGACAAGCAACATGGCTGCGGGTTGTTCAGAGGCGCCGCGGCAAAAGGCGGCTTCTGATGGGTCTCTGGTAGGGCAGGCTGGCGTCCTACCTTGCCTAGAGTTGCCGACTTATGCCACTGCTTGTGAGCTGGTGAACAATCGCTACTCATGCCTGGTGGCCGGGCCGCACCGAAGGCACATCGCTCTGTCGCCCCGCTACCTTAATAGGAAACGCACTGGCATTCGAGAGCAGCTGGATGCGGAGCTCCTGCGCTATTCTGAGAGGTACTGATCTCTTTGCCTGTTCCTTCTTTTGTGCACGGGAAGTACCAGCAGGTGGATGTGCTGATGACGTAGCAAAAAAGGGAGAAATGGTAAAGGTCGCACTGCCCCCCAGAGCTTATACCCGTGGAATTTTAGAGTCTTGATCCGTCCCTCAAGGCCAGTACCGCTCTGGTAAAGATCTATACAGGGTCCCTTTCAGATAGAGAAGAAAACTTAAAGGTGAAGTTCAGGTGTGGGCGGAGGAAGTGGAGATTCTCGCTCCAGATCCCTGATGGTAGGGTTAGGAACAGAGCAGGGGTCTGGAGACCTAGTAGGCCCGGTTCTGTATGGCATTCAACGTTTCATTTATCCCCTTCCGGATGATGTTTTCTCATTTGACAATAAAAATTTGGTTTGCAGTGCTTAAGTAGATTCTCATTCCATAGAAGATTGCACATGAAGCATTAATACAACTGTTCTATTTGTAAAACGTGAAGCACGTTTTTGTTGGATTTTGCTCTGGTAATTTCCCCAGGTTCTCTTCTTTTGGATCTGATCTGGGGATGATGAAAATGCCATTAGTTTAGTGTTGTTGTTGTTGTTGTTAAGACGATTTATGCAATCGAACTAGTAAACCTGTTGCTTTTGGGTGAGAAAAACCCAAAACGTATTCATTTATATTACAGTATTCAAAAGCAACTTGAAAACTCAGAATTACAGAAGTATGTGTGTGGAGGGGGTGCAGGCATGTGCTTTAGTATTCCTCTGGACTATACTTTGGTTCAAAAGAGAGGGTTCTAAAACTAGAGTGAATGGATTTCCTAGGAATTCATGATTGCCCTTCAGGAATTCCCATGTGAAGTTCCTTGGGTGCTGGTATCCAAAGCTTTTACCATTTTCTTAAGGGATCCTGGACCAACACACACAGGCTGATAGTCAAGCATGTCTAGAATATACAGCTTCTGCCAAGCACCAACACACAGTTCTTGTATGTTTATATTATATACTGAGAATTTGAGATATAAAAACAAACAAAAAATTAAATCCCTGTTTCAAGGAGCTATATAAGCTGTAGTAGAGATACAGATTCAAGCCAATAAATAGTGAAGTGTTAAAATTTGACAGAAATCTAATAAGGTAAGGAGTGTTGAATTTGGATCTTGGGACCTTTGAGAACAACTTGACAGAAAAGGGTACTTTCACATGATAGTATTCCAGACAAAGAGAGTGGCATAAACAAACGGATACTGGATGTGAACTGGTATGCTATGCCTAGGGAGCTGTATCTATTATATAAGCAGAATAAGGTGTATGTCAGGGGAAAGGCATTGGAAGTCACTGGAGAGAAGGGCAGGGGGTCAAAAATGACTCAGAGTATGGCTATTTTGCTTTTCCCTTCCTGCCATTGCCAGTTTTTGGTTTTAGGGGTGAAAAGTATGGTTGTTTTTCCTTTTGTGTTTCTGTTTTCTTAGGCAGGGTTAGTGCTTCATCCTCTCAATACCCTTTAACTCTGAGACCTCACACACTTTTGAGAAAGTAGCACATGTTTGTAGTCCTGGCATATCAGATTTGCACTTTAAGAAACAGCACTTGGTAGCCTTAATGGTTAGCTACCAAATAGGATGAGAATGTGGACAAGGAGATGAATTAAGATAATATTATAATTGTCTAAGAGAAAATGGTTAGAGGGGATGGTTTTTAGATTTAAGATTATACAAAGTGGTCATAACATCTGGAAACACAAGCAACTATTTTGTTTTCTGTCATCAGTATTGCCTGCACTTGACAGGCTAGGGGAAAGTCACCCAGAGTGGCTCTGAACAGATCTGGATACCATTCCTTCCACATTACTTGAGTATGCTGAAGACTCCTATTTATTCAGGTGCAAATCAGGCACCACACTTTGAACTATGCTTTGCTAATAAGGGACAAAACATTGAATATATATTACCAAAGAACTAAAATGAGGCTACCACCTTGCCCTGATACCCATTTAGAAAAACAAAAGTGAAGGAGGAAAAAGTTTATAGTGTTGGGTGCCTGTGTTCACATATCTGATGACTTTTAATAAAATCTCCCCTGAATTTATATATTGCTGAATTCCTGATAATTTTAATATATATTAAAACTATGCAAAAATGACTTTGTGTTTACGACTTTTAAGAGTCAAATTATGTGCCTAGCTATTTGTAAACAGATTTGTCCCTTTATTCAAAAGTCAGAGCTATTAATATTTCCTCATTGTACAGGATGGTCCTGTACATGGCAGACTCTTTTCTTTCCTGGATTCGACAAGGTTTGTGATAACCATGAATAGTATCACAAATTTCCAAATGGCCCACTCTTCCGTGCCCCACAGGGGACCACAGTCCTCCTTCCACTTGAGAATCACTCTCTGATAGTTGAGAGATTTGATTAGGGGAAATAAAGTCTTAATTTTTGTTTTTCTCTCTAATATGGCAGTTACTTTTTCTTCCTATTCTCTAACTCTGTTTTCTGTGTCCCTAACATTTTCTTAGTGATAGGATGATTCCATCTTAGGAATGCCACATGCAGAAATTAAAACCTCAGAAGATTGCTTTCCCAAGTAATTTCTCTCAGTTAGGATTTTCCTAATTTGGTAGTTCTTAAAGTTTATTTTCTGTGGCTTCTGGCTGTTTTACTAAATAATATCTATTAGGGATAAATTATTTCCCTTATTTTATGTATGCTAGAAGTTTAATTGAGTTTAACAAAAAATCTGCCATCAAAGGCCTTAGAGTCGTGTGAAATTCAAGCATACTACAGACAGGTTCAATACAATTAGGTTAAGAACAGTGAAAAGGTTGTCCTGTAGGAGTAGAGGAGTGATTTCAGCTTTGCCTAGGGGAGTCAGGGAAGTTTTCTCTAACAAGTAGTGGTATGGTAATGAAGTCACCAGGTTTTGTTTATTTGTTTGTTTTGTTGTTTTTTATTCATTTGTTTGAGATGGAGTCTCCCTCTAATGCCCAGGCTGGAGTGCAGTGGCGAGATCTCTACTCACTGAACCCTCTGCCTCCCACCACTAAGTCTTTCTCCTTAATAGTTATCCCTTAATCCTGACTGTTACATTTGTAGACTAAAGTGTTAGTTCATAAATAATGTAGTTGTATTAACATTTGCTTTTACTGGCAACAGTTGAAGCCTGGGATTTTCTCTATTAAGTCATTGATTTTAACATTCAGGGCCTTTGACTTTAACTGTAATGCTTCCCTTGCTATATGCTGTCAAGTACTGAAATTCAGTAATGGTTTATAATACCAGAATTGCCTCTTACTCAGTCATGCTCACAAAATACACATTTTTCTTGCTAGAATGACTTGAAGAATTCAAATAGGATCGAATGAATGGGACTTGGCAAGGGAAGGGTTGATTTACTGTTCATGCATTAATTGGACATTTTGTTTCTGAGTATCTTGAATCATCATTTTAACTTAGCCAACTCATCAGAATTCATTTGTGAATGGGACTAATAAAGTTATTACAGACTAATCATATACTATTGTTTTTGACATGGGTGGTGTACTTAGGAGATGTGTAAGTTTTGGACTCTTAGCACAATAAGTATGAAAATGACCTGGTTTGAAAGAGTGCAGTGGTGCACGCCTATAATCTGAACACTTTGGGAGGCTGAGGCAGGAGGATCACTTGAGCCCAGGAGACTGAAGCTGCAGTGAGCCCTGCTCATGTCACTGCACCCTAGCCTGGGCAACAGAGCAAGACCCTGTCTCCAAAAAAACATAAATAAATAAAAGAGGATAAAAGATACTATTACCAACTTTTCTTCTTACAGCCTTTTAGGTGTCCCTATTGCATATGATAACATCAAAGTTGTGGGAGAACTGGGAGATATTTATGATGATCAAGGACACATTCATCTTAACATCGAAGCCGATTTTGTTATTTTTTCCCCTGAACCAGGGCAAAAGCTTATGGTATGTTTATCATTTTTTTCTAGTTTTCTTTGTATAATTAGATAATTATGCAACTTGGAACATTTTCAGAGATGGAATATACCTTTTGACTCAAATGAGTTACTATTGTGAGTAAATAAATACTATTTTTAAGGAAAAATTAATTTGTGTCATTCAAACTTAGGTAAGTTTTTAAACACTCTCCTAAAACACATGCATGCACAGAATATATGTACCATCCACTTTATTCTTTTCATAGTAATAGAATGATTTTAAGGGGAAAAAAATCAATTATTATTATTTCAAAAGTTCTCAATTCTACACAAATACCATTTCTTTATAAAGGATTCAAAGAATATAGCAGTATATGAAACAGAAATTCAAATGGACTAGGCAGTAATGAAAATGTATGAATGATAGAGGACAGGGCAGCCAGTCTGTGCCTTGGAAGTGGATGCTCTGTGGGAAAGGTCTTCCAGTTTTTCATAAACTCAAAATGCAGATATTGGTATGAAATCTACTGAGATATATCCATTTTTACTCTTTACTTTCCCCTCTCTTCCTCCAGTAGTTTTGTGTGTATGTGTGTATTCATATGTTTATATGCATATTTGTGTGTGTCTTTTCTTTAGTTGATAAATTTGTATAGGAATTACTTAATCTAATAGATCAGAACTGTTAACTAACCCTTGATTCTGTTCATAAAAATATAGATCAGTTTAACCATGACAAAACCCAGAAAGTACTTCTAATTTTTTTCGTTTTTCAATATCAAATTAATATAAATAGTATCCTTTGCCTATTAAACTAGAATCTTGTAACTGGACTACTAAAGTTGACAGGTTTGTATTTGGAAATTAACAAACTTAATTTTCATCTGCTTTGTGTAAATTATATTTTAAATATAAACATGTAGGCCAGGCACAGCACACCTGCAGTCACAGCATTTTGGGAGGCTGAGGCAGGAAGATCACTTGAGGCCAGGAGGTCAAGACCAATCTGGGCAACATAGTGAGATCTCGTCTCTACACAAAATAAAAAATTAGCCAGATAGTGGCATGCATCTGTAGTCCAAGCTACTCAGGAGGCTGGGGTAGGAGGATCACTTACGCCCAGGAGTTCAAGGCTACAGTGAGCTATGATTGTGCCAGTGCATTCCAGGCTGGGCAACAGCGGGACCCTGTTGCTAAAAATACACACACACACACACACACACACACACACACACACACGGAAATAACATACATATGCATGCACATGGAAATAACAGATTATATAGAAGGTATGAAATGAAAAATGTTCCTTTAATTCTACCTGCTACAAGATCCAGTCCTCAAATATTTTCGACTACCCAGTTTTTCTTTAAATATTACTAATAATATTTGGCCAGATAAAATTTACATATTATAAAATGTAGGGATCATATTGTTCAGTTCAGTGAATTTTGTCAGATCTGTATACCATTCTATCTCCTTAGAAAGGACCTTCATTCCCTTTCCTGGCCCAATTCTCTCTTTTTATTCCAGATGTAATTACCCTTATGCTTTTATTGTAAGTCAGTTTTGCTTATTCTATAATTCCATGATAATGGAATTATTCATTATACATTCTTGAAATCTGCCTTTTGATCAGCATGTTTTTGAGTTTCGTCCATGCTGTTGTGTGTATTGCTGGTTTGTTCCTTTTTATTGCTCATGGTATTCAATTATATGATTATATCACAGTGTGATTATCTGTCTTCAATGATGGATGGATTCTAGGCTGGGGCTTTTATGAACAAAGCTATTGAAAACATATTTTCAGACATGTTTGCAGATACATAAGTGAAAACATACATTTTCATTTTTCTTAAGTAAATAACTAGAAGTAGAAGAGCTAGGTCACAGGGTGTTTATATAAAAACATTGTCAGACTAATTTCCCATTCAACACTTCCATTCACTGTTTCCTTATTAACATTTGCTGTTGTCTCTTAATTTTACTGATGGCCATATAGTGGTATCTCATTACGGTTTTCATTTTCATTTGCATTTCCATTTCCCTCATGAGCAGATTTTCATATATTTCAGTAAGAAGGGCCTTTCAAGTATTTTGCCCATTTTTAATAGGGTTTTTGTATTTTTATTGTTGAGTTGTAGCAGTTCCTTTTGGTCTTAACACAAATTCTTTTCAGATAAATATTTTGAATATTTTCTTTCAGTCTGTGACTTGTCTGTTAAGTTTTAATGGTATTATTTGATAAACAGGTACTTTTAATTTTGATGAGTTCCAATTTATCATTTTATATTTTTATGACTATTGCTTTCTGGATCTTATCAAAGAAATTTGTCCACCTAAAGGTTATGCAGATATTCTTCTGTCAACTTCTACAAGCTTTTAGTTTTAGCTTTTCCATTTAGGTCTGTGATCATTCTCAAATAATTTTTGTGTATAGTGTGAGGTAGGCCTTGAGATCCACTCTCTTCTTCTTGTAGCTTTCCCATTGTTCTAGATTCAGATATTAAAAAGGCTTTTCTTTCATTGATTTTCTAAAATTCATATATTTTTAACAGCAGTTTTAGGTTTACAGAAAAATTGAATGAAAAGTATAGAGTTCCCATATAACCACCCCTTCCCCAAATATACATTTTCCCCTATTATTAACATTATATTGCATTAGTATGGTGGATTCGTTACAATTTTTGTGCCAATATTGATAACATTATAGTCAAGTAAAGTCTGTAGTTTACATTAGAGTTCGGTCTTTGTGTTCTACATTCTATGGATTTCCACAAAAGTATCGTGGCACTTATCTGCCATTATAGTACCATACAGAATAGATTTTCTCTCTTAAAACTCCCTTGTGCTCCACCTACTCATTTCTCCCTCCTTCCCTCCATCCATCCTCTCTAATCCCTGGCAACCACTGATCTTTTTACTGTCTGCATAGTTTTGCCTTTTAAAAAAAGAATAATAGAGTATGTATCCTTTTCAAATTGACTTCTTTCACTTTAGCAATATGCATTTAAGGTTCCTCCATGTCTTCTTACGATGAGAACCTATTTATCCTTTTTACTGAATAAACTTTTATTTTAAGGATGTACCAGTTTCTTTAGCTAGACCATCTGGAAACTACCATTGGGAACACTAAGGCTTCTGATCATGACAAATATGGAAGTTTTATTCTGTCACATATGTAAAAGGTTGCCAATTTTAAACAGCATTGTATACAAGTCAGTATTATTTGCAGTTCTATAATTCAGAAGATGGGATTTTTTAATATTTAAAGGTCTCATGCATATGCTTTGTGTATATTAACCCTGAGAAGAAAAATAAGTTTTATTCAAAGTCTCATCTTAAAATCATATATCACATACTTTTATTTTAGCTTTAAACTTCTAATAATACTTTTGTGATTTAGCCAAATATAGCCACAATCAATGTTTACATGTAAAGGATAAACTGTCTTCTAATGGAATGCTTGCATCATGCTAAATTAAATAATTAAATAATGCGTTTTTAAGGTTTGAAATTTGGTGTCTTTATGGAAACATAACATGGATCCCAGTTATAAAACACATATGAGATCTTTTTATAGGCTATATGAGAGTATTTTCTGCTTGGTTTCCATGTAGCTAAAGAGTAATAATCTCCTTCCTAAGGAATCCTGCAGTGGGGAGATTAGGTGGTTTTTTTCCTTGGACGGGGTGATGGGGGCAGATTAGTTAAACCAGTTAGAAGTTAATGTACACAGTTAGACAGTAATTAATTTTTTTAGACAGTAATTAATTAGATGGTAATTAAATAAGTAATTGCAAATTACTTATTTAATTAAGTTGAGCTTTCCCAAAACCCGATGGTATTCTAAAGTGATGTTTTGACATGACGTGTTAAGTTTTAATTGAGGTAAACCTTTTCCATATTAGACCATTAATTTGATGTTTGCTCTTTGAAGATTATTTGAAGTTTGTAGACTCTGGTTCACCTTTTAACTTTGTGGATCTGTTCTTTATGTTATGCTCTTTCTTCCCTCTTCTCCCAGGGTATAGTTAATAAAGTGTCTTCTAGCCACATTGGCTGTTTAGTACATGGCTGTTTCAATGCCTCCATTCCTAAACCTGAGCAGTTGTCAGCTGAGCAGTGGCAAACCATGGAGATAAACATGGGTGATGAACTGGAATTTGAAGTATTTCGTTTAGACTCAGATACTGCTGGAGTATTCTGCATTCGGGGAAAACTAAATATCACAAGGTTAGTTTATCATTACATAATTACCATTAGGTACTTAGTAATTTCCATTTAATTCTGAATTTAGAGAACATAACCCCTCTTTAAAAATACCTGTTTATAGGACTATTCATGGTTTCAAACCATAAAGTCAATATAAACAGTATTCTTAAGTAATCTGTAACAGTGCATCAAATAAATATTCTAAAATTCTGTCTAGCTAGCTGGTCTGTATTTTAATATTTAATAGCTCAGTTTCACTGAGTGTTTTCTATTTTGTTGTTAACTCTTTAATTCTCTCTCTAAACTTGAAGCTATTGGCTTGCTTTGTTTTTACACACAAAGAGTGTGTTGATTATTGTCATCTGTGTTAGATATTTTAATTTCTGTATTCTGTATTGAAATTATTATAAGAAACTCTGATCTTGAACTTGGTTCCATGGGAGTCAAGTTTAAAGGAAGAAGGAGAGAGACAACTCTTAGAATGCTGCTTTTGCTAATAATTTTTTCTAGATTTTGCCTTTAAATTACAAGAGTGTGGGTTGAAGTTTCGGAACAGCTGTACAATTTCTGTGATGACAAAAATATAGTATATATGCATAATACAGTAGCCTCACTGTTAAGCATTGAAATGTGACTGACTAGTTGACTAAGGAACTCAATTTCTAAAGTTATGTCATTGGTACTGCTTAGGTACACATGCCTAGTGCTACCGTGTAAGATTGAAGTTCTGGAAAGAGAACTACTTCATTGATTCATGTTTTATTTTAGTAGTATAAAATAATTCACAATGTTTACGTAACACTCTCTTAGTATCTGCTAAGTAAACAATAGACTACTATTTGAAAGAGGATTAAAATAGGCCGGAAACTCCATTGCTTTGATACATACAGGAGCATATTTTCTATAAGATGTCAGTGGTTTGGTTAATAAGCAGATGTCAGTGGTTTGGTTAATAAACCTAAGTGTTGTGATGTTTAATGTTCAGTGATCAAGTTCTTCTGAAACAACGCAAAACTTGGAAGACATGTTTTGACAAGATTTTTATGTCATTTTTATGTGTGGAAAGGGTCTGGGAGAAGTTCTTCATAAAGAAAGATTTTAACATTTAATGTTAAATTTAACATTTTTCAATTTAACATTCAGCAGCCCGTATATATTTTAGTGGGTTGAGGGATAACAAGATAGAATATTTGGAATTTATGCCTTGGTTATGTGTCTTGTACTGCTGTCATTATTAGAAAATCTTAGCCTGTTAGAATATATTGATCTCATTTTCTTATTAGTTTTTTGCTTATTGCGCTGTTAAATTTTTTTAACTGTTAATTTATAGTTTACAATTCAAGCACTCTGAAGTTTCTGAAGAAGTTACAGAAAATGGCACTGAGGAAGCTGCTGAAAAACCTATTAAGAAGAAAAAGAAAAAGAAGAAAGACCCAGAGACATATGAAGTGGACAGTGGTACCACCAAGCTAGCAGATTTTGCAGATGACACTCCAGTGGAAGAGTCAGCCCTGCAGAATACCAATAATGTGAATGACCTCAGGGAGGAGGAGCCAAAGAAAAAGAAGAAGAAGAAGAAGAAAAAGCACCAGGAAGATCCGAACCAGGACCCTAGTTTCCAAGGCAGTGACTCCAGTGGTTACCAAAGTGACCATAAAAAGAAAAAAAAGAAAAGAAAACACAGTGAAGAGGCTGAATTTACCCCACCTTTGAAATGCTCACCAAAAAAAAAAAAGGAAAAGTAATTTTCTTTAGAGTATTTTAAATATGATTCAGTTTCTAAACGACAGATATACGTGACAATTGAATAAATGTTTTGAGTGATATGAAATGCTTAAGCATACCAGTAGTTTACAAAAGAGAAAATAAGTTGGAGACAGCTCGATGTGCTTAAAATGATAAAACTGACTGTACATTGATTTGGGGAAAGCCAGTATTGTTAGTGCCATTGTATACAAAATAAAAAGCTGCTCTTACTGTCAACTCTCATATTCTTCCAGGTTTTGCACTCTACATTGAATTATTTCTACAGTATCTACAGTCTCAAGACCAGCAAGAAGAGTGTGTAATACTATATTATATTACTAAAGAATGAGTTAGAGTTTTTATTTAATTGTGTCTATGTGTTTAATAGGTTTCACCTTATTACATGCTGTTTTATATTGCTTTTTTTAAAACTCAGGACATTAACTAGTTTTAGGTTTTCCTTTACCATTGCTTCTACAGTATTTCTATTGTTTAACATAAAATGGTTTGCCAAAGAAGTTTCTGAAGTCTTCACAGCTCTTAAAAGCCATGCCAGTACTGACTGCCTGGTGGTGTATGCTGTTCATTATTCTTTTCTTCCAGGTGCATGTGTATTCTTGTTTTCTTTTTTAAATCTGAGAGGTTGATGGAAAGGACTGTCTTCTTGTACTTGTTCATTTGTGCCTCAGCCATTCTAATTTTGTTGTGTGTTGGAGTAGACTCTAATGAAGACAGGATAAATGTGATTCTGACTAGTGGGAAATTTCAGATTACTTTGTGTGTGTGTGTGTGTGTGTGTGTGTGTGTGTGTGTACTTTAAGTTCTGAGATACTTGTACAGAACGTGCAGGTTTGTTCCATAGGCGTATGTGCCATAGAGGTTTGCTGCAGCCATCAGCCCATCATCTACATTAGATATTTCTCCTAATGCGATCCCTCCCCTATCACCCCTGACAGGCCCCAGTGCATGATGTTTCCCCTCCCTGTGTCCATGTGTTCTCATTGTTCAACTCCCACTTATGAGTGAGAATATATGGTATTTGGTTTTCTGTTCTTGTGTTAGTTTGCTGAACATGGTGCTTTCTAGCTTAATCCATGTCCCTGCAAAGGACTTGAACTCATCCCTTTTTATGGCTGCATAGTATTCCATGGTGTATATGTGCCACATTTTATTTATCCAGTCTATCATTGATGGGCATTTGAGTTGGTTCCAAGTCTTTGCTATTGTTAACAGTGCTGCAGTAAACATATGTCTGTATGTGTCTTTTTAGCAGAATGATTTATAATTTTTTTGGTATATACCCAGTAATGGGATTGCTGGGTCAAATGGTATTTCTATTTCTAGATCCTTGAGGAATCACCACATTGTCTTCCACAATGGTTGAACGAATTTACACTCTCACCAACATGGTTCTTATTTTTCCACATCCTCTCCAGCATCTTGTTTCCTGACTTTTTAATGATCGCTATTCTAACTGGCATGAAATGATATCTTATTGTGGTTTTGATTTACATTTCTCTAACAACCAGTGATGAGCTTTTTTTGATGTTTGTTGGCTGCATAAATATCTTCATTTGATAAGTGTCTTTTCATATCCTTTGCCTACTTTTTAATGGGGTTGTTTTTTCTTGTAAATTTGTTTAAGTTTGTTATCGATTCTGGATATTAGCCCTTTGTCAAATGGATAGATTGCAAAAGTTTTCTCCATTTGTAGGTTGCCTGTTCATTCTGATGATAGTTTCTTTTGCTGTGGAGAAGCTGTTTAGTTTAATTAGGTCCCATTTGTTGGCTGTAATATATTGTGCTGAAGAGAAAACAGTTGTTTTGTTCACTGCTTTCATTGAGAAAACATGGAATGTCTCTTGACTAACTGACAAAGAGTAATGAAATGACAAGCTGGTTGAAGCTGATAATCAATGCATGGCCATATTTATTCATTTTCCACACACTTGACCATCTACTTTGTACAACACATTCTTACACTGCCCAGGGATATAATGGTAAACAAGTTAGATGTATGTCATGTACACACATCTTGTGTGGCATGTCACAAGAGAACAGTTGTGCATGTACACACAATAAGTAAGAAAATTAATAATTATGTTAAGTGATATGAAAAAAAAGGGGAAGATTGTCCACTCACTGTTACCTGTGTATTTGCAAATAGATGAATGGTTCAACTCCCATGTCAGCATTTGTGTTGCTATTTATTTAGTACCAGACATAGTGCTGGTCTCACAGTTTAATATTTGGTAATGAATAAATTCTGCTAGTAGCATATCGGAATCTGAATTTATAATGATAGGGTATAGAATTGGCAGAGTGGCAGATGTTCACAGTTGTCTGCAAGTAGGTGTGCTAGACAATGGAAGGATGCAGGCCAATTACAGTTGAGATTCATGTGAGTATTGAGCCCTAGAAATGTAGCTCATCCAAATTGAGATGTGCTGCCGGTATAAAATGCATACCAGATTTTGAAGATATACGAAGAAGTGTAAACTATCTCAGTTTTTATATTGGCAAGATCAATATTATTTTGTATAGTGGGTTTAATAAAACAAGTTTAGCCTTCCTCAGTTTATTTTTCTACAAAAAGTTTAAAAATTGTACATAAAGCTTATATTAACTTTCTTTTGGTCAGTGCTATCTTGAAGTATGAGTTGAAAAAAGGTTGAAATAAGTTATATCATATTACCAGGATTTACTATAGTGGCATACCCAAAACATGTTTAATAAATATTCCCTTCACATTTTAAAATTTGAGTAGACTGTCATGTTTGACAATATAGAAATTTAATTTTTAGTGAAACAATTCTAAACTCCTTTGCCATAAACATCAAGAAAGATGTCCAATTCATACTATTCCTGGAGAAGTACATTGTGGCTTAGCAAAATAAGCAAGTTCACACATTACTTTTGCTTCAAAAAATACTTCTGCCAAGTTTTGCAGCATGCTGAACTTGAAACTAGATTTGTTCCTGCCTTTTCACAAAGTGAGTAGTTTTGGAGTGAAAAGTGAGATCTGGCCATTTGTCTTTCCTAGGAATATAGTTACTTTGTTGTTTTTTTGTTTGCTTTTCTGACCCAAAAAGACTGACGATGGTGTCTACCATATATTCTTCAAAACATGTCAGATGCTGCACTAACCTAGGCTTTATCTTTTCTATCTTGGAATTTGCTTATATAAACCCTCTAGCCTAGCCTAGATCCTTACCTTCTCTCCAATTCCTATCATTCACCTATTTCACTGTGTAAGACACCTCACTAGTCACCAGTGATACAGAGATGACTTAAGCAGTTTCTGCTCTTAAGGCCTTACCGTTTTGTCTATAAGATACACAACTAAGTGTAAATGATAAGTACAAGTGACAATGAATGTTTAATGCTTTATGCTTAGTGGTAGTTGTTGGATTAGCAGCATTTTGACCCTTGGAGAAGGAAAACTGGCTGTGTCATTCCAGGTGGAGAACCTGACAGAGAACTAAGAAGTTATCTAATGTAAAAGACCTCATGCACCACCTTGTACATAACCTTTTTCCAGACGAGGCTAAGTGTGCATACTTCATAACCATAATTCTTATTTTTCTTTAATAAATATTTTTCTACTTGTAACACTCTGCGTTATTGCAAATTGTTTACCTATTTGTAAAGCTTGTCTCTTGATCAAATTTGTCTTGACCAAATACATTTCCTGAGGGCTGGAATTATGCCTTAATTATAACTAAGTAACACTGAATCCTTTGTATAATGAAAGCATCAATAGATACTTTTGAATTGATAAATAAAAAGCATAGTTTCAAATGGCATCACTTTGCCTCTGATGCGATATTATTAACCTTTTCATTTGTTTCAATAAATGCATTCTTCTTTTTCTTTGCCTATACATAATGTTGTTTTCAAATACTTTTATCACTTTAGTGTATCAGAGATAGAATACTTAGAAATGACAGAAATTTGATCTCTTTAACTTGACTTATACATTAACCACATGGGTCATCTTGCCTTTTTTTCCCAAAAAGTAGATGTTTTATGTTACGAAATCAGTATATTTTAAAAATTCAAATCGTAAAAGTATATACTCTACCAGTCATGGATCTCTCTCCCTATTCCTCCCCACACCACACACACCCGCTTGCCAATTCTGCTTCCAGAAATAACTACTATTGTCAGTTCCATGTGCAGTTTTAGAGATTTTTTTTAGTAGTGAATTTTAAAATACCATATTTAAAGGCAAAAATGGAATCAAACTACCTGTACTTTTTGGGCTACCTTCTTTTATTTGATAGTAAGTATCTGCCTATGTGAATATATAGAGGTTTTAATGTTTACAGAATTTTTATTATTTTTAATGTTTACAGCATTTCAGTGTATGATTGAAGTGTTCTGTTTCCTAATGATGGATATTTAGGTTGTTTCTACTTTCCCTCTGCACATGCATGGAGCATGTGTGTATTTATATCTTTATTTGCCTTATCTAAAATCCTAGAAATGGAATTGCAGTTATTAAAGGGGATAAGCAGTTTACTTTTTAATATCAATTGTGAGATTGTCTTTCAGGAAAGTTGTATCAATCTGCAATTCTATCAACAATTCGTGGTTGGCAACTTTGCAGATATGGAGGGTCACCAATCATTTTAATTTTTGACAATCTGAGAAATGAAAATGTTCTGTTTTGCAATTTATATTTGTTTGGTTATTAGTGACTATTTTTGTATTTTTATTGTCCATGCATTTGTTTCTTGTGAATTTTTTATGTCCTTTGATCATTCTTGTTGGATTTCTTTTCCATTTATTACTCATTTTAAGGGTTACATATTAAGGTTGATAAGGTTTTATTGTTAAGGATGACGCATACTAAAGATCATAATGATGTTTTTACTGTTATTCATGTTTAGATAATTTTTGTAATTTGTCATTTATGTTTTAACTTCATTTGTTGTTCAGAAATGTTTATTTTTATGTAATCAATAATCACTTTTGTCTGAGTTTTATCAAACACTGTTCTTATAAAGGCATTTTTCATTCCAAGTTTATAAGATATTTATGTTTTCTTCTAGTAATTTTATCATTTTACTTTTTACATTTAAAATTTTGATCCCTCAGAAATTGAAATGTGGTTTGATGCAGAAAGTTGTTTCTTTCCAAAATATATTCCCAAACTATTAATTAGCCCATATTTTATTGAAGAGCTATCTTAGCTTTTATGGTATTCCACATACTTTAAATGATCCTTTTTATCTTCTGTTGTACTTACATATTCTGAAACAGCACCAAGCTGTTTATAATACTAACAAGCAGAATTATTTCAGGGCTCCTAAAATTTCTCACCCTAATCCTCAGGACTAACAATGATGAATTTTACCTCCATGATAATAGTATATGTCATAATGGGCTTTAAGAAAGGGAGGTGATCTGGGTGGGCCTAACCTAATCACTACCCTTTAAAATCAGAGTTTCCTCCAGCTGGTGGTAGAAGAGAGTGAGAGATTCAAACATGGGAAGAATTTGATGGAAGGGGTCATATAGCAAGGACTTGAGGAGCTGAGAGCTAGTCTTGGCCAACAGCCAGCAGGAAGATGAACCACAGTACTACATCCACAAGGAACTGAAATCTGCCAATGCCAAGAATTAGTCCAGAAGCAGATTTTTATCCAGATCCACATGCAAGTTCAGGTAATACCTTGATTTCAGTCATAAAATCTTGAGCAGAGAATTCACCCACACCTTGTCAGACTTCTGAGTGACAGACTTGTGAACTACTGAATGGGTGTTGCTTTAAGTGTTAAATCTGTGGTAATTGTCATACAGCCATAGAAAACATAGTAAGCATAGTCTTACTGTACATTTTGACATCTAGTTCTGTTGCATATAGTCTACTGGATATACTTAAAAATTAATTTTGTCAGAGCTAGAAGAGGATGCTTTTTGGAATTTTGATTGGAATTGCACCTAATTGACAGATAATTGAATGTACAATAGTTTTCTTAGACAATAAGCATGTTCAATGTCTTTATATAAGTCTGTTGCATCCTTCAGTCATACTAAAGTTTTGTCTGTTAAGGGCTTTCATATATCAAGTTTATTTCCAGAAATTGTATAGCATTTCTTGCTTTTGTTAATAATTTTTTTTGTTACATTTCCTAACTAGTTCATACTTACATACAAAAAAGAAATTGATTTCATATACTTACATTCTATCTGGCCAGACATGCCAAAGATATTGGCTCTCTAAAATAACTACTACATTTTTTACCAGATTTGCCAATTTTAATTTTTTCGTTAATTCTTTTACCAAATCTATTTTTGGGGGGGTTCCCCCCTGCGTTGTCTTCTTAGGTTAGATTCTTAGTTCCTATTTCATTTCAAACTTTCTCATTTACTAATGTAAGTATTTGACTCAGTCTTCCTCTCTAGTTTCAGTCTTGTATGTGTGCTCTAGGTTTTGGTGTGTAGTGTGTTCATTGTTTCTAGATACTCTGAAATTTTGCCTTTGCATTTTTCTTTGACCCAAGATTTATTTAAAAGGGTACAGTTAAAATTTCTAAAAGCTTTCATTGTTACTTTAATTGCTCTTTTATGTCTTCATTTCCAGCTGTATTGTACATTGTGACCTCCAAAGGTAAGCTCTGAAATTGAGATATTTTCAATCAAAATTGAGATATTTTCAATCAAAATTGAGATATTTTGCGGGGACAGTACATAGTTCAGTTTTAAAAAATATTCTTTAGGCACTTGAATAGTTCTTTTTTAAGTAGTAAAAGCGCTCTTTTAAAATAGATATTATATATCCGACAGTGAGAACAAAATTGAAGAGTAATGGATAATTCTGCACATTATGTGACTTTTTGCAGTATTTCTCCTGGACAATTCATGGATAAGTTCAATAAATGTACAACTCAGAGTATTACTGGCTCTCCTTACTAAACCTAAAGATGTTCAGATATTTGGTCTAAACTGTTTTCTCATCCAAATCTCTGCTTTGACAGCAGGAACTTCATGGCACTGTTTTGTCTTCTACTTCTTTCAAATCAATACTGGCACACTGAATCAACTTAAAGCCCAGTTGCTTTATCTCAGACGTCTGAATGCTAGACTTGGTCCTACTTATTCACTTGATTTGATAACTTTTCCTGAATATGTTTGAAAATTTTTAGTAAGGCAAAAGTTTAGTAAGTTATAAAATTGGAGTAATTAGGGGAAAAAAAAGAAGAATCAGCAAACCTAAGTCCACAACCAGGATTGCAATAGCAAATAAGCTGCAGTCTGTATAATTGTAGGTAATTAGTTCCACATTCATTGACTCTTGTTAGAAAATGCTCTGGCACTTATTGACTCACAGAAAAACAAGGACACATGAAATACCTTGTCAATTCTTGTCTTAGTAAACAGCTAGAATTAGAAGCTAATTCTAATTAAGAGGCCTCTAATAAAGAGGGGTCAAAGGAAGATAATTTAGCATTCAAAATGAGAATGCATTAGTAAAATGACCTATACATTTATGAGATTAGGGGCAAGAAAGAGCTAAATACAATGTGTCTTATATAGGAGAGAAGTTCCTGCTAATTCTGCATCCCACCATAATTTGTTATTGTCTAATGTCTTTCAATTGTGGTTGCCTATAAACAAGATCACCAGCTACAGAAGATTGTTATAAGCATCAAATACACAATGATTTGTGAATATTTATGCATATATATGAGTGAGCCTGAAAGAACACTAACTCTCTGAAATGAATGATTAAACAAAAATATTTCAGTGACTAGTGTTCTAAGATAATTCACACCAAATTTTTACTTATTACTTTTAAATTTTACATATTAAATGACAGTGATTTAACTCCACTGGGTGGAGTGTTTTTTAACAATTTTACTGACCTCTTCAAGGTGTGTTTCTTTACCTGTGAAATGAGAACACTGAATTAGAAACCAGATTATCTAAAAGTTTCTTTCAGTTAGAGAATCTTGAGTGCCATTGATACTGCTATCTATTGAAGGAAAGAACTGTGAAGAGTCTTAAGATTTTATCCAACTTGCAAACTAATAAGTTACTCTGCCACAACTTCATGGATGCTAGCTTAAGACAGAAAGACTCCTAAGTCAGAGACAAAGGACTTTATTACTTACTGCACTTCAATAAGCTCCATTAGTGCCAGTTCCCATTGCACCCCAAGTCGTATAGGAACAATGCACAGCCCCAGGGAGCTACTCTGCAGGAAGGGAGTTGTGTCACAGCTGAGAAACTCCATGCTTAGCGATCCCCAGTGATTTATATAAAATGGACGGCAACCAACCTGCCCAATCTTTGCCCCAGAGGAAGAGATCTTTATTACACTGGAAAGTAAACAAACCTGGTTTGTTGTCTTCTGCTCTAGAGGGGGCACTATTTTTATTTCCTAAGGCTTTAACTATCTAAACATTAAAGTTAGTCTGGAACAAAATCTGTGAGTACCTCTGTTCACAAGATTTGCAGAAATTCAAGAGACTTGTGGAGTATTGTCTCAGTATCACCTCACCCAAAGGAGAAAGTCAGTTAACATCCTCTAAATAATTCATATGTGTACGAAATATCACTACAGATTGTTACAATTTATGCAAATGTACATAATGATATGTTCATATATAATTATGCAGTCCATTATTTCAACTTTAATATCAAGCTGTTAATGCTTTTTTCATTTATAAGTTTCTTATTAGAAAACTATCTTCAAGTTACTTATTGTTGATGTATTTTTTCTTTTTTTAAGCTAATATATTTTCATTGTAAAATACACTATTAACATCTTGTTAGACTATACACACACACACAC